TGTCAAAAGCTTCGTCAGTATCGGTCTGGTGGTGAACGAGAGCAAGACGAAATATCTCGTGTCATCAAACAAACAGTCGTCGCACTCGCGACTTGGCTCCCACATCACTGTATGCAGTCATAACTTCGAAGTCATAGATAACTCRGTCTATCTTGGAACCAGCATTAACACCAACAACAAAGTCAGCCTCGAAAACCAACGTAGATTAACTCTTGCCAACAGATGCTACTAAGGACTGAGTGGGAAATTGAGAAGTAAAGTCCCCTGTCGACGAAGAAAAAGCAAATTCTACAAGTCACTCCCCGTCTTGCTACATGATACAGAGGTGTGGACGATGACAACAGCTGATGAGTCGGCGTTACGAGTTTTCGAGAGAAAGTTCTGTGGTCTTTTGCGCATTGATAACGGCGAATACCGCAGTCGAAGAGACAGTGGCCATGCTGGCTAGGCCAAGTCGTCCGAATGGATGAAAACACTCCAGCTCTGAAAGTATACGACATAGTATCCCCCGCGGAAGTTTTCAAGATGTCGATCTTGTCGATCTGAAATATCCTTTTCGCCTCAAAAAGCGATTCATAAGTCGGAACCCACGATATTGGAGCACTATAGCATAAAGCTCTCATACAAACTGACGGATCATAGTTCTTCCAAGGATTTTTTTTTTTTTTTTTTTTTGTGAAGAGTATTATAGCTTCGGCGCAGCAAAATTTACGTGTATTCTTGTTTGAAATTGCCTTTAGAACCCTTTTCATTAATAAATATGTTTTCTTTCCCAGAAATGTTTCTCACAGTGTAGCCATATTAAAAATGCGAGTGTTTATCACCGACGCAAGAAAACAAAACGCTACACGTTTTGCCAGCAACATGCCCTTGAGCATCATTAGCAGCAACAAGGCGAAAGGACAGAGGCGTGGACAAAAGTTCAAAACAGCTGGACGAGAAAGACTACAAGAATGCGAAGTAAGTGTGAGCGACGGCTGAGACACTCAATGGCCATTGGCGATACCAAACAATTTATTAAAGCATAAAATCACCAAAAGGCTGAGTGGAACGTGCCTCGACCATACACACATACCAGCACACACACACACACACACCGAGGAATGTGAGTAAAAGTTGAAGGTATTTTCTCCCACACATACTAGCACGTGTATGTGTAAGTAGTTTTTTTTTGTGCGTCCGGCCAGCTGTGCCATGTTGCCACTTACGAGTTTACGGTCAGCATGTGGGCAATAACAAAAACAACAACAGTCATAGCAACGAGTGAATGGACTAACTAAGCGCTCATAAACTTCAACGCCAGCCAAAACACTAATAAACCATATGCGTGCGGTGGTGTGAGAACAGGAAGTATACGGAAATAAATACCGTTATAAGCTCGGTGAAAATGTATATAGAAATACATGCTTTTCATATACGTTTTTGCTTTATGCGCTTTTCCATACAACAAATTGCAAGAAAAACTGCAAGGACATACCGTTGGTTACAAATTCTTATGTTGCTTTTGTTGTAGGTAGGTGGCTTCGCTGACTTTTAATGCATAAGGCAATAATCGGGGTCATCAGTTAATGACCAGCAATGCTTCGAACGCCATGGTCCACAATTAAGCCAAAGAAGCGAAAAAGTGATATCAAAGCCCAAGTCCAAGCATTTTCGCCCACAACAACCTGGTCGTAAAATAATTTTACGCTCCACTCCTGCTCAGCAAAAAGTTGTTGCGGTCGTTTTATGATTATTACATGAATTATTTGTAGTGCGCTTTTCGGCATAAATAAACATATTTTCAGGTTTATAGTGTGGCTTTTAGTTATATGCATTCATGCTAACATTGTATGGCATATGYATGTGTTGGTGTAGCTATGATTGTGTGTCTCGAGGTGTCTGTGTGCTTCATATGTGCGCGTAAAATTTTAATTGAAACGCAGCCTAGTGTCTAATTAAACTTTTATGACACTATGTAAGCGATGATTAATTTTTGACATTGCAGCATTTTTGGCCGCTAACCATTGGTATGTCGGAATTTTATGTTAGGCTGTAACTTTGATGTGATTAAGGTGATAAATCGATTCCACAAATGTGATAATTTTCGTTCCGATCTAGAAAAGATCTGTTGACTCAGATCTCAGTGATCCTAACAAAGAATACTTTCTTCAGTACTCCTTGGTTTCAGTAGCGATTTAATATAATATAACATTGCTAGATGTTTGGCTAATCCTTTCCTTATATTTGTGGCTTTTGTCAACAGATAACTTTAATCATATAAAATAAAACATCCGATCAAAAATCTAACCGGTAGGTAGCGCTGAAATCAAGTTACCTCTAAAAAAAATATACGACACCAACCGAGTTAGTTAGTTATACACCGAATTGGTTATATTAGGCGAGGTTAGGTTAGGTTAGATGGGTGATCAAAAATCGCAAGTGGACTGCTAAATGTAGTCCTTTGTGATGACCAGAAAGAAGAACTCCTGTCTTCGAATTTATAAATTAGCAAAACGTACAGGTATTTTAATTTCCACTCCTGACGGTTCGGTCTGAAGGCATATACTCTCAATTGTTTAGGTACTGACCTGTCTCTTATACACATCTAGATGTGTATAAGAGACAGGCTAAATGTAGTCCTTTGTGATGACCAGAAAGAAGAACTCCTGTCTTCGAATTTATAAATTAGCAAAACGTACAGGTATTTTAATTTCCACTCCTGACGGTTCGGTCTGAAGGCATATACTCTCAATTGTTTAGGTACTGACCTCCCAAACGCTAGACAATTAAGAAGGAAGTATTAAGTTTTTCCACCTTGACTCTTTCATACAGCTTCTGCAGATGACGTCTGGCAAGATTACAAACCTTACAGCATGGACGCCAATTGGGCAATGGCCTGTTAAAAGGCTCACAACTCGGCAAGGTTAGCCTTGATGAGGACAAAGAGATCACCATGCTTCCGCCAAGTTCAGCTATTTAGCAGTAAAACGCAATATAGCGGTTCTAGGGTGCCTTTTCTTGCTAGAACCAGAGGACAACTTTCGGTGAGAGACCCTACTATTTGCCAGTGGCTCCTTTGCAGCAATACAGGGCAATCAAAACCTTTTTTGCTCTATCCTGGATGAGCCCCAGATATTTCAATCCGCTGGTTGCAGACAGATATCTCCCATTCGCGGCAGTGGTGCCGCAGAGATCTTGAACCTTCTAGTGGATAAAACCACCAACGATTAAAACCGAGATCCATCTCGTCACCTTGTGGACTTCTCCTACTTACATTCCCTCGAGCACTTGTGTTTTTCCATTCCGTTTCAATCACTCTGCCGCACCGAAGATTAAAAATAAGGTGTTTGAGGTATGATTTAACCCCAAAACAATCCAGAGCAGTTACGACTGCAACCAGCAGGACGTTATTCAAAGCTTCCTCAGATCAAGGAAGATCCTAACAGCGAATTGCTGAAGTCTAAGGGAGGAGAAGTTGATGGGCCAAAAATTCTTGGCTGTAACGTGGAAGCCCCTGCCAGCCTTCGGGATGAACGTAACAACTCGAGGTCTTCGTCTGCAATATATGTAAGTACGCCATTCACAAAGAGGGAATCGATGAAGGTGTTAACGGCTCAACTGTGAATGGCGGTCAGCGCATGTCTGAAGTTTGTTGCGTCCGTAGTCTGGTCGGTGTATTGTTTCATGTCGTCGATGTAATTGAGAAGGACTTCTTGATGGTCCTAAGAGGCCGTGTCGCTCCTAGCAGATGACTGCAAATATGATTTCTGCAAAAGCAACTCAGAAGAAACTTGGAAAGGAGTTTATTCCCTATAGTGATTGCGAGWGTTTTGAGATGTAGAATTGAAACCGGAACGGAGAGAGGACACCGAGAGGACACTTGGAGTTTTTACCTCGAAATCAGGTGTTCATAGTCCACTTCTTGAGTTTTGGAAGGAGCGTAGATTTTTCGATGTCCTCAAGTAGCGTTGTCAAAGGCTTTTGTCAAGTCTGGAGCTAAAGAATCGTCCTCGCGCAGGGTGAGAGAGGAGTGAGATCATTGTCTTAATTGCTGCTTGACAATGCTGCCATATAAACTGGCCTCAAGTGGTTCTATCGAAAACTTGTTTATTTAAACAAATATCTACAAGAAATTTGTACAGTTGTTGTACAGTTTAGATCACTAAATCATATAGCTTCCATACAATCTCTATTTATACCCTTTTATGCTATAAGAAATGCAACCGTGAAGAGTATAATCGGTGCATTCGAACTTAAAGCTTTTTCCCATTTATTTTTATTTATTTTATTATTTGTTGTTGTTTAATAACACATTCGCCCACGTTGTATGCTCGCTGACCGCATTGCGGATGGAATTTATTGYTTTCTTGTTATTCTCGCAATCCTTTTTTTTTTATCATTTTTTGTATTGTTAATCTAGCGAAATTGCGATTTTAAGCGCACAAAAAAAGCATGGCCTCACTCGAGTGCGAAAGTAAAAYKCAAAAACCAAAACAACAATAGCAGRGAATTCTAATAAAGAKCAGTTGTAAAATATGGGCACAGTTCCTGCCACCATATTGTGTGTTTTTATTGTTGCTGCACTACAAATTGTTAGATTAGTGCGAATTCCATGCAGTTCCCTTGCATTTTTGTTGCTAGTTGTTGCAAGTATTTTAGACACATACAAGCCTCACCCTAACACATACATAAAGGCACATACAAAAATAAATTTGTAGAGAATTTCCACACGAAGTGACCCAAATAYTTAAATATTATTGGAATGTGGGGAACGGTGAAAGTTCGTTAAAATTTATGGTGGGGATTTTATTGCAAATTTTAATGTTTGCAGCAGCTTGAAGTACTCGCTTATATTTGCTACTTTTATAAGTTATTATTTTATGTTTTCATAAGGTCAAATAAAAAATTTTCGATATGAAACATTTTTGATTATTCTTATTATTTGTTTTTTAACTAAAATATAATATATCATAACTTCAATGCATTTTTTCTTATGAATTTCAATTATGTATTTCCAGATATCAGGCCAATTAGACTGTGACAAAGCGAAAATGTTTGAAATGTAAGTTTGGAATTTTTTATCTTATTTTTTATAACATTAATTGTCTTATTTAATTGCGTTTTAATATAACAATAGCAATCATTCCCAAAAATTCAGCTAAAAGCAAATATGTACATTGATTGCTACATACTATAAACTGAATAGCAGGTCCCATCTGTGTTAAAGAATTATCTATCAACCAATTCTTTCTTCTTTTTATTCAGTTTGAGTAAATTAGTCCTATAAGATCCAAGACTCACTGAGCGTAGCCGATGTCTCTTCATTCACAGAACTATGTCAATGTCGTTGAGGCCAATGACATCAATATCATTAGCGTATTTCAGCAGCTGTACACACTAAAAGAATATTCAGTTCTGTAGCTCGAAGAAGTCGCATGGTAGGGAGTGTCCTTTTGTCTGAAACGTCGTTTGGTATAGAATGGCTCGGAGAGGTTCTTCCCGATTCTGACGGAGCTATTGGTATTGCTCGACGTCAGTTTACACAGCCGTATTAGTTTTGCTGGGATACCAAAATCTGACATAGCGGCATAAAGGCAACAACTTTTCGTGCTGCCAAAAACAGTTTTGAAATCGACGAAGGAGTGGTCTGTGTCGATGTTCTTTTCACGGGTCTTTTCCAAAATTTGGTGTATAGTGAATATCTGATCTGTTGTTGGTTTTCCAGGTCTAAAGCCGCATTTATAAGGTCTTATCCCATGTTAGTTGGCGTAAATTGTGGAATGGACAGAGCACACTTAAATTCCAATCGTTGAGCACGCATTCGTTCGACCATATTCCACAAAGAAACTGATGCATGCTTCTTATCAGTTCTACGCCGCCGTACTTGAATAGCTCACCCAACAATTCATTATTTATTCACTTAACTAAATTAAGTTAGCTCAGTTACTCACTTTCACTTTCAACACTTCCTTGCTACAATGTGAAATTATTCTGACCTTAGTGTTTTCTTAAGTTATTATATAGCCTTAACACGTAGTGGACTAAGAAATTCTACAAAGATGATAAAAAATTAAATATACAAAGGAAGATTAGGTAAGGTTAGGTTAGGTYGTAGGGTTGATCCAAAATCGATAAATCTCACTTGGATGACTATTCCTCCTGAATGGGAATCCTCAAAGCCTCATAGGTCGACGAAGTATTTTGAGCCTACCACAAATATGTTAKGGCAGTTAATATCAATAATAATAATACGTACGGCTACCGATGTATTTCAGTTAGTCTATCAAAAAAATATTTAGCCGCACCACAAAGCGGATAAACTTATTGAATAGTGTTCAGTCAGAAAACTTACAATTGATAAACTTTGCTAAGAACAAGTACTTCRGAGAAACTCTTACGGTTCAATCTGAACTGAAAGGATCTCGTAGTCGCCCAAGTTCTGGTTGTTGACCACTGCTTTTGAGCTTAGATCCAAAGGTACAATGCCARAATCCCTTAGGATAAAATTGAGRAAGAGTGCACTTCCCAKCAAGCTTATCGGTTTTGCAGTTTCTGGCGATTCTGCTGTGACCAGACACCCACACAAGTCTAATATGGATAAAGCTTAAAGATACTGCTAATGAGGTCATACACTATTTGACTAAGTTTGAGCGCACGGTCCCCCCTCGGCTATCGAGATTCCGAAACCTTTTTAATCTGGTACTGAATAAATACCGGTGTTTTCGTAAATATTTTCAAGAATCTATCCATAGAAAAATAAATAAATAATATAGTATTGACTTATTTTTGATAAGAAATCATAACTTTTCATATTATCGAATTCATTCTGTATGCATTGAAATTTTTCGGGATCCCGAAATCAGTATTTWAAATCCCGAAATTCACATATTTGTGCTTACTTCAAATTTGATGAGTTATGAGTTTTTGTTTTTGGTTTTATAAATTATTGCACCTTTTAGTTAAATTTGCTTTCAATTCCGCCGTTCAAACACTAAATAGAAGCTGACAGAAAATGTTCAAAATATCTGCAACTTATTTAAACACATTTTACACTTATTTGGACAGCATATTAGCATTACTGAACTCCCACCTATTTATGAAAGCGCAAACATATCCATACCAAATCCACTAAATCGCATTTGAAGTGAAAATCACCACATTGAGTTAAGTTGAAGCGAAATAAATAAATCGCGCTGAGCACTTGTTAGCCGAAAACCCACCCCCAAAAAAAAACAAAAAGAAAGACATTTCAACTACTTGCCACAGCTAAAATATGGCATCAAGTAAATATTTGATGACTTACAACGTGCCACAGCACGGACGGTCACTTGCCGCATGCCACACTAGCCACTTGCCGCTTGCTACCTCCTGCTTGTCCCCTTCTGCTTTCCACTTGCTATCCATCTCCTGTTTGCCGCTTGTTACTTACTTATGGACTCTACAGCATATATTGCCACTGCCCTGTTAACCTTCACTCATTTCGAGGCGTCTCTTACTCTCTTGCCGGCTGCTTGCCGCCTGCCAGACCGGCCATCAATGCGTCGTAAAGCGTTCGGGGTTACGCGTTAAATGCCGTCTAAATTATAATTTATGGCACTTTTTTATTTTCGGCGCTACAACAATAACAACAACAATGCAGTCATGTACTTACATGGCAAGTTTCGTAACCATTTTCAACAACATGTCGAAGCGATATGGCAGCACTGCAGCACTTCCTTTGCCACTTTTTAGTTTATGTTTTTTTTTGCTTCTTTTCTTTTTTCGATTTTTTCACATCAATTTTCATTTCGTTTTTGCCTTTTCGTTGCGACTTAAAAACTAAACGAAGTGGATTTGCGCCTGTTGTTGTTGCTGCTTGCTCTTGTTGTTGTGGTAAAGTGTTGAAAGTGGGATTTACACTTGTTACTTTAATGCTAGAGTTTATTTCGGCAATTCAGTGAAGGAAAGTGGACGAGTAAGGGAGCGTATTTTATGCGGGAGCCGCACACATACACATACACAAACACTTACACATGCAAGCACTTACATATGCACATATTTATACCCATATTATACTCGCTTAAGTATATTGCTGCGTGTACTTACGTATGTATGTCCGTGCGTGTGTAGCATGTATAAATGTGTGAGTGCAATAAATTTCCGTTCCATATTGAACTTAATTGATTTATAAATGTTTGGGTCAATTGCCTTAAATGTTGGCTGCCGGGAAGTTGCTGCTGCAGCAGTTTCAACATCACCTCCTCTCCCTCTACCTCCTTTCTCCCTCACTTTGGCTACGTCGTTAAGCAAATCTTCACAGGATATAACACTTATATACACCGCAGTGTTTTCATATAAAATTCCCTCACTTTTGCCATTTCTTGCTGTTGTTGTGCATCCTTATTGGCTTCTCTTGATTTGTGTTAAGTGGTTTTTGGCTTTTTCTCACCGAAACTTTTTCCTGTTTTCTCTATTTTCTGTCACTTTGCTTGTGTCGCTGGCTCAGCTTGTGGCTTATCGGTTTTCGTATATTGTCATATCGGTTTGTAAAAACATATATATTGTCTTATTGGCTTCTCGGCTAATGGTCTTTTTGGACTTAGCAGTTGATTGGAAAAATATTGCTTTATAGCCAGCTCTTAAGTTCTTTTCTGGTGTGTGTGTGTGTGAAAATTTTTATATATTTATATTTTATATGTGTTTGTGCATGTGTGTGTGTGTGCGCGTGTGTGTGTCCTAATAACCACAGCTCAATTTATACCATTTTAGTGGCATCACCAGCTTATTGCACTAAAAATGCCGAGAATATTCGAAGGCAACAATAAATCAATTAAAGTGAACAATTTTAAAATTTAGAACCTTTTCATGCAATTTAAGCGATTATATTATATGAGATAGTTATGGGTGTGAAGTAACGTGACTGTTAATGTAATATGTTTTACTTAGTTGGTTTTATTATTCTGGCCGAATCGTGCTTCAACTAACTGAGCAATATTGGATAAATTCAAACGAATACAATTCTCGCTTGCGTTAGTTGGCGGGTAATCCAAATATTTTTTAGGCTAATGTAAACGTACTTTTTGAATACGAACTAGCATTGAACCAATTTACTTCGCGTGCGCTTAGCAGACGCTGATCACCAACTACTTTATGTGCGACCACGAAACCCTTTYGGCGTAGAGTACGCAGGAGATCCATTGTACCAATTGCCCTCAGCGAAGTTCATCTTGCCGCAATCGTAGAGGACACTGTCCAACAGGCATTCATGTGGCAAGCTAAAAAATCAAACACTGGTTGTCAAAATGACATGGAGCAGTGTGAAGTGGAAACGTCCARATACTTTCTTATCCATTGTCCAGTCTTTATAAGAAGCCTCTCGGTTTTTTCTTTGTCGAACCCACAGCCGAGTGGTCGAAACTGGCATTAGCCTCTTAACCTAACTAAACTTTTTCTACCTAACTTAACCTTAACCTTATTACTCAAAGTCACTTTCAAGTATGATTTTATTATTTTTCGACGAGAGCATGATATCAAATAATACTTCAGATCTTAGGTTTTAGATTAGATGGTTRATCTAGAGATCTGTGTTCGAACTTATAAATTTTCAAAATGCGTAATAACCCCACAAAACTGCACAGATGTTTAATTTCCAGCCGATTGTCGTGGATTAATTTCCATTCCCGYCAGTTCGGTGGGATGTCTGATACTTCAGGTCTTCTTCCATTASATATTTCCAGCTCTGTTTGGTCACTTTTTCGCATTTTTATGAAGCCWAAACGTGTKTTCTTTGATAGTGGAGCTTAGGTGYYTTTTTTGTCAGTTTGTCRRCTTTACAGTTACTAACGATTCGACCATGGTCTTACGTCCATAGTAGTCTTGTTTGTTTCCGTTGATAGTAGGGTTGGGCATTCATTAACAACCCTTGAACGCTCTATTAGTGAGCTCAAGGTAATCATCGTTCTCCTATCAGAGTGAATTGTTACTTTTCGAATGAGACCTCTGCTTTTTCCAATATAACGCTCTTTCCTCGATATTACTGAAGGAGAATGTTTCGTTTCTGTGTCAGTCTGTATCCTAAGGAAC